CCCCCCCCCCAGGCTGCTGGAGGGACTGCATCCCCACAGAAGCCCTTCCACATCCCCTCCGGCCCTTCTGGCCTCGGGCCTCACCGCCCCCACCCCACTGAGGGGCACTCTGGGCACTCGGGCTCCCGTGGCCAGTGCTTCGGCTCTCGTCTGGGCTGGGAAGCAAAAGGGAGCATGTGTGGCAAAAGGGAGCCAGGACTGACGGACGAGGCGGGGGCAATCCTGAGGCTAACCCACCCCCACCTGCACGTCCCTCCTCTGAGAATCCCTGGACACCCGGGTCAGGTTGTTTCTGGAGAAGGAGTTTCAGACAGCCAGCTGGGGGCCCCGGGGGCACGGTGTCTGGCCTGGGGAGCGCCAGCGCCTTCCGAGCCCTGCGTCCTGGGCCGTGCCGCGGTGGCTAGGGCGAGGCCCCTGGAGGCTGTCAGAGGGGCCCGGACGGCCGCCTGCCGTGGCCCCCAGAGCAAGCTCACCTTCCACCTCGCGTTGACTTAGAAAACAACAAAGATGGTTTTATGGGCTGAATCTTGTCCCCCTAAGATCCATGCCGAATACGACTGTAGAGATGAGGCCTTTACAGGGGGGATCGAGTTAAAGTGAGGTCACTGGGGTGGCCCCGAACCCACATGACTGTGCCCGTGTGAGGAGGGGACATGACACAGACATGCACGGAGGCACGGCCGGGTGAGGACACGGGACAGGACAGCCTCTACCAGAGAGAGGCGTCCAGGGCTGGGAGAAGTGTCTGCTCAGAAGCCCGAGGACACGAACACAGGTTCCTAGTTTCCCCCAAAACGTGTCTTCTCCCCAGTAAGCTAATGGTGTCCTCCCGAGCCAGGAGGAACGGGTCCCTCCCTGGTGGAGAGTCTGAGTGCTCCTGTGGGACCCCAGGTCATGTGCACGGAGTCCTCGGTGGACACAGAGACTTCTGGAGACATGTCCCACAGAACTTCCTGTTTTGGGCCAGCCCAGAAGTACCATGAGACACTTAAGGAGAAATATTTCAGTACTTCTGCTATCTGACCTCAGCCAAAACCAGGAAGTGCAGGGAAGCGTGGAAAGGAGGCAGAAGACGCTGAAGAGAACATCCAGAAAACACACTGACGTTTGTGTTCTGTAAAGACGATTCCAGGAATTTTTCTCTCACCGTACTCCTTGCAGAACGCCCTTTTCTTTTGGACTCAAGAGCTAAGACCACATTCAGGGGCGCACGCGCAGACCAGGAGGGAGGCCAGGGGCCGACGGCTAGGTCGGGGGGCGGCCTCCAGAGGGGAAGTTACAGAGAGAGATCAGAGCAGTCAGGGGCACTGTGACGGCCCCTCGGCCCCACATTCTCAGCGGCAGAGGCGTGGGGCTGGGCCTGTGCCTTCGAGGAGCTTCAGGGGGTCCTGGGAGACTCTGCACAGAGACAAGACCCATGAAGTTGAGAGGCAGACGTCCTCTCGGGCAGCCCAGCCAGTGTGACCTTCAGCCAGAGTCACAGGGAACCTGAGGGCAGACTTACCACAGGCCCCGACCACCAAGATGCAGGAGGGCCTGGAAGCCATGGTCGGGGGGGGGAGGTGCAGAGAGAGCATCTGGGGTCCCCCCAGTGGCCCTCCTTGGGGCTGCGGGGCCTCTGGAGGGACCCTCGCTTTGTACCTCAGTTCCTCGCTTACAAACGAGATCCTAGCGCCTACTGTAAAGGACTGAACGTGTCCTCCCCAGATTCACGCTGGCATATTCTAACCTCCAGTACCTGGGGATGTGACCCTATTTGGCATCAGGGTCTTTGCAGATGTGAGCATGTTGAAACAAGGTCACTAGGCTGGGCCTGCTCCACGGACTGGCATCCCTCTACAACACAGCGGTGTGCACGCAGGCACAGGGGAGCACGTCTCGTTGAGGATTCGGGCAGCGATGGACGGAGGCCTCTACAGGCTGAGCAACCGCCGAGCCGTCAGCAAACGCCAGCAGCTAAGACAGCATGGGACACTCTCCCTCGCGGCCTCAGGAGGAAGCCAGCCTCCCGAACCGTGACCTTGGACTCGTGGCCTCGACTATGGGAGTCTGCTGCGTGGTCGGTGGTGGCACCACGGCGATGTTCCGGGTCCACAGGGACAGGTGAGATAAAATATGGATGGTACCTGGACTGTGGGGCCACACCCTGGAGACCCATGGTGACCTAAGCGATGGGGCCCCAAAACTAGAAGGTTCTGGGAAGCCTAAGGAATGGGGGGCAAATGTGAGCAGAGCCCTGAGGCTGACTACTGAGTAGAAACCAGGGGTGTGCCTGCTGGGCCCGAGGGCCGAGAGGAGACCCTCTGCAGTCCCGCACGGCAAACCCCAAAGCCTCCCTGGACAGGGTTTTGGTGCGAATGTGCCAGTCTCGTCTGCGGAGTCTCACGCAGGTGTGACCTCATTTGGCCCTCAGAACGGCCCGAGGGAAGGGTGCCGGCAGCTCCCGAGGACACTTCTGCGGCGGCCTGTGGACAGGGCGGGCAGGCCACCCCCGGGCGCCACTGACCCCTGCATCCCACAAATCGCAGACGCTCCAGAGCAGCACCCAAGCCCCTTGGGGTCGCGGCAGTCGGGACCCTTCCGGCTTCCTGCTGGGCACATCCGGTCCCCTGGGTTCCGCCCCTCCGGCGGGAGAGGTGGGGGTCCCTGGAGCCGCCCAAAGCTTTTCCCAGCAAGGCAGAGGTAGGGCAGGAGACCCGGCCCCGTTGCCAGAGCAGCAGGCGGCGCACCCTGCGGCGGCCTGCGGCCAGAAGCAGCACCCACCCACCCCGTTCCTCTCCCTTGCTGCTCCCCACACGGCTCACAGCGCCGGGCCACTGGCCCACGGCCCCACCCGACCGCTCGGGGGTCGTTCCTCTGTGGCTGAGGTGGTTTCCGAACAGGAAACTCACACTGCAAGATACGCAATAAACACAGTCACCGCTTATGCAGCGCCTGCAGGCTGGCACCTCCCTGATGCCATCCCAGAGGCTCACGTTCACGCGCGCATCCCGCAGGCCTGCACGCGTATGTAACACACCCGTGTGCCCACACACGTGTATGTGCCAGCATACGCTACACGCTACCACACACACCTCCGTATGTGCAAGCACACGTACCTACACGTGCACACACCTACACGTGCGCACACGCCTACACACGCAAATACCCACACGTGCACACACCTACAAGTGCACACACACCTAAACGTGCACACACACCCACAGAGACGCACATACCTACACACATATCTACCCATGCACACACACGTGTACACACCTACATGTGCACACACACATACTTGTGCGCGCACACCTACACGTGAGCACACGCACACACCCAAACACATACCTACGTGTGCACACACCCACCCACACATACATACACAAGCGTACGTAACTACACTCGCGCACACACCTACACGTGTGTACATATCTACACATGTCCACATACCTACACACATATACACACCTACACGCACGCACATACCCACATGCACGCACACACCTACACTAACGCACACACCTACACACGTGTACACACCTGCACACACGTACACGCCTACACATGCATACAAACACACGCGTACATAACTACACTCCTGCACACACCTACACGTGTGCACATACCTACACTCATGCACATACCTACACACGATTACACATACCTACGTAGGCACCTATGAGCACACATACCTACACACGCAAACGTACCAACATGTACGCGCGATCACACATACCTATACGTATGCCTCTGAGCACACATACCAGCCCACGTGCACACACAGCAACATATACACACAACTGCACATACCTGCATATACACACAGGTGCACACATACCACTGTATACATACAGCCACACTCACCCCAAGCTCCCGTGAGCCCCGTGGGCAGGTGTTCTCACTGCCCCTCTACGGTCACGACAGTCTTGGGATCTGCTTGAGCAGGAACCAGGATCCAGGCCCTCCTGGCCAAACGCCGCCCCCGGCACAGGAGACGCCCTGGGCCCCGGGCAGTGCTGGTGGTGGTCGAGGGGCACGTGCTCTCAGCACAGACCAGCACGGACCGGTGACACCAGTGGGTGATGGAGCGCGTCTGAATTCCTCCAGAGCTCCAGCCTTTGCCAAGTCTACTCCGTCATCAGAGATGGGGACCTGTCGGCCTCTCAGACATCCAAAGCAACACACCTGTGGCTCCTGAAGCAGCTCCCCAGAGGTCGTACGTACACTCGGGGAGCACGGGTTCAGCCCCAGAGGTCACGCGGGTACTCAGGGAGCAGGGGTTCAGGACCTGAGGTCACATGTGCACTTAGGGAGCACAGGTTCAGGACCTGACTGGAGCCCCACAGCCACCTGGGGGGGCTGGGCCTGTCTCTTTGGGGATGTCTGTTATAGAAAGCCCCTGTTCACACATGGGCAAACCCCGAGCACACAAACACCTAGAGTGCCCCCCGCCCCCCCCCACTAAAAGCTCTGTTTCTCTCCTGGATGGACAACGGTTTCCGATTTTCACAACACCCGGGACCCCTGAAGCCCCTCGCAAGCAGCTCGCCAGGCCCCGCCACAGCCCCCGCAGCCCTGGCACCAGGGGCGGACGCACCAGGGGAGGCTCAGAGGTGAGTCCGGCCAGGCTTCCTGAAGGTGTCTCTGCCGGCCCAGAGGTCTCCATGGCACCGCCGCTCCTAAGGACCTCTCTCCTGACCCCTACTGTCCACCCAGGATCTAGCTCAGGGCCCACGTATGGCAGCCACTCGGCACAGAAGTGAATGAGGGACACGCAGGGTCACAGCCGGGGCTCTGGGTCACTTGCGTGTCCAGCACGGCTCATGGGCGGGGGCGGCAGAGCCACTGAGAAATGACCTACGAGGCCCAGAGCGGCTCCCTGGGGAGCGCTGTAGACAAGGCCCGGCAAGAAACCGCCACGACCGCCTCACACCCACTAGGATGGCAGTTATCTGGAAGGGACAAGTGTGGGCAAGGGTGTGCAGAGGAGAACCGTTCGCAGCCGGCGGCAACGCAAAACGGGGCAGTCGCTGCACGCAACAGCACGAGGTTCCTCAAAACATAAACACAGGTGCCACCTCTGGCATCTCCCGAAAAGAGCTGAAGTCAGGCACTTGGTGCCCGTATAGCCGTGCTCACGGGACCATCACGCACGAAGCCTAAAGGGGGAGGTGCCGGAGCGAATTCAGACCCATAGTGGGCTGGGGGCTGGGGAGGGGAGAGGAGTTAGTGCTCTATGGGGACAGAGTCCCCGCTCGGGAAGACGGAGATGGGTTCTGGCCACAGATGGGGATGACGGGTGCACGCCACAAACTTAACGCCACCGAAAAGTTTTAGAGCGGCTGAGATGCTAAACTTTACGTTATGCGCATTTTATCACAAGAAGAAAAGAAGAACAACAACGATTAAAAACAAAGGAAAGCCTGACAAGACAGCAGCCTGGCCAGGAACCGTGGCAGGGTGACTCCAGTGCCATGGCGCCCTGACGCCCGCCAGCCGAGGACTCACCCCGCGGCACTCTGCGCCCGGCGGTTCCCCTGTTCTCCCTCCTCCTGATCCTCAGAGCCCAAGCCTGTGGGGGTGGGGGTGGGGGTGGGGGTGGAGGTGGCGGGGGTGAGGGAGCAGCACATGGCACAGCAGGGGGCCAGGCCCCAGGGCAGGTAGGACGGTCTCAAGTTACAGACGGCCAGTCCCACCGTGCACTGCCAAGGCATGGGCCTCCCCTGCACCCCAGCCACGGGCGGGCTGTGACCCGGCCATCCACCCACTTCCTTCTTTCTACCGCCTGCCCGGATGCGGTGTCTGGGAGATCTGCTGACTCTCCAGACCCCAACCCCTGCTGTCCGGTCGGGCCGGCAAGGGAATGCTCACCTGAGCAGTCGTGCAAGCCCTGGGGTACAGAATTTACCTGTCGAGCCCACAGGTACCGATTCAGGGCACACCTCACACCAGGCCCTATGCGGGGGACTCTACCCCCGTATGAACAAGAATAGCCCCGTCCACCCCCTGGGGCTCAGCCAGAGGCACAGACCCCTGCATCGGGGATGGAACAGGTCCCCAGCCCAGCCTGGGCCGGGGCCTATCAGTCGCCTCTTCTGAGTAACAAACTACCCTGAAGCCTCGTGACTTACTTAAAACATCATTTTATCTGTTCGTGGTTGTGCGAGTCCACAATCTGGGCTGGTCGGCCCCAGACTGCAAGTGTGTCTGCGGGCATTTGCTCACCAGTGCAGCTGCCAGACTCGGGCACCCCAGCTCGCCACCCGGAGCAGGGCCTCTGGGGCTCCCGCTCCCCGCCCCTAGGGAGCACTCGGCCTTGGACTCTGTGCGGCCAGCGCCTCCCACCCGCCCAGGCCGGCATAGCCGTGGCACCGTCCTCCCGCCGCGCACGCCCACTCCTTTCTCACAGTCCTTTCTCACACGGGGGGAAGCACTTCCAGATCCAACAAGAGCCAGTGAGAAGGTCCAAAGCCACACAACCTTCCTGCTTCTGTGCATCAGAGAGGAGACACTGCAGCATCTGCTGGGCTAGAGCCAGGGCCGCCTTTCCAGAACAGTCTGTGCTGCTGGGAGCAGTGCCTAGGGGCTCAGCCTTGCCCTCAGCGTAGAGCATGTTAAAGGCGGCAGGCCACACATCTCGAACTAGGCCTGTCGTATTCAGACTGCAGGAGATCAAGAAAGTCTTGAAAAGAAGCCAGAGAAGAAAAAAACACCTTACCGACCAAGGAGCAAAGAACGACCTCCCGTGTCTCCCCAGATACCATGTGACGGGAAGACGGTGCAGTGAATATTTAAGAGGGTTGAGAGATAAAGCCCAGCAGCCTAGATGTCTACACCCTGGGAAATCATCTTTCTCAGACAAAAACTGAGGGGATCTCCCTCACTGCTGGGGGGAAAGCAGAGAGGGGCAGCCGCCGCGGAGGAAGGTTTGCCGGTTTCTTACAAAACTGAACACGCTCTGACCATACGACCCAGCGGTCGTGCTCCTTGAGGTCTACCCAGAGGAGGTGAACGTTCACGTCCACACGACAACCCGCAGGCTGATGTTTCCGGCAGCTTTATTCATAACT